TTAATAATATATTAATAATATATTAATAATGTATTAATAATAATTATATATAATATAAATCCAAAAGTTTTTCATGATAGTAGTACGGTATCATATAATAATTTAAAATGAAAAATTTAATATATATTTTTACCTTTTTATTATTATGGCTACTTCACAAACGAAAATTTATAAAATTTATGTATAATTTTTCATTTTTAACGAGTAATATATAGTAATGTATGGTCTTTCTATGGTATGTAAAAGTGTGGTTCCAGAAAGAAAGTGACAATGATAAATGATATTATAGGTTTGTTTTCTGTGACTGAACTAATGTACACTTTTAGCGAAGAACTTAAAGCGAAATAGATACATATTTGATATTTGAAAGCGAAAAAAAAAATTCTAATGCAATCTAGTGCAGGCACAGAAAACAGAACATATGATAAAAACGTACAGCTTTTGATTACATTGCAATATTATTTATGATGATATTTCTGTTACTATTATATTTTTGCTTCTTCTTTTGTTTTTTTTGCATAGCTTTTTTAAATTAGCATTATTCAACTATTAATAAACTTAATTATTTCTGCAATTAACTTTTTTAATAAACAATAAGCCCAAAAATTTCAATTGTATAGAAGAAAATTTAAAAAAAGAACGAGATATTTCTTTAAATATCTTTCAAAAATATTATTTACTAGTAAAAAATTATATTTTTATTTATTTGTAAAATATATGTATACATACATTATTTGTAAAATATATGTATACATATATATAATTTTTTAATAAGATAAAATATTACAATTGTAATTATTACACCGTTATTCATAAGTAATTATTATAATTTATTCGATTAAATAACTTATTTTAGCTCGGTATTGATCTATGATTTAATTGATAGTAGATAATATATTACAATTTAGTAATTCGTAATACTTGTATATACTTATCATATATTTATAAATTACAAAATTATAATTTATTATTTGCATTTGCTAACGACTGTGAGAGAGACGCAGAAATATCTTACCTGTACCAATTTCCCTAGTCTATCTTAGATACTGTTGGCTGTAGGGAGATTCGAGAATTTCCACACGCACTGATCTAATACACTCTATCTTGTTGATTCTCGCTTCTCTTCTGTGTAGTGATAACAGGGCCCTAACAGTTTAAGCCCAGCTGCCCTGGTCGTGACACACCAAGAGAGAGCGCAACTTCCACGACGAAGATTCAGCGCAGACTGACGCGGCAGCCGTTCGCGTGGGTCTGTCTAACCCACGCTGCCAGTTACTACTAAAGTCAAGCGTAGATACATTGATGTGAAACGTGTGTGTTAAACAGTGTCTCTCAAACTTCTCCCAATTCTATATCGAATGTCCTCTTTTTTTAAATGTTTTAATATCAAATTTGTAGTCACAAACTAAATTTTCTCTTTAGATAAATAATAAAGAGTGAAAAGAGATCTCAATTACATATTAAATATAATATATTAAAATAGTAAGTAACATAAAGTATTACATAAGTAATATTGTTATCTCAATATATTGAGTTAGGTAAGAAAGAATTATAAACAGCATAAAATAGATAAAACATAAAAATATATTTTATCAGTTAATTATGTATTTGTTTATGTATTTAAGTCAATAAGGTCTTAAGCTTCTTTCAAACTTCCTCTCTTATCTTTTTCTTAATTTTTTCTTTTCTTTTTTTAAATTCTTTTTCGGTAAATCATACGAAGTGATTATATTCAAATAGAATGACAACATTTATAAAATATTTAAGAATGGTTATTTTTAAGCTTTAAAACCAGTTAAAAACTGTTTAAAAAATCTGTTTAAATAACCATGTTGTACAAACATTTTTAAATTTGCTTCTTTTTGAAACAAAAATTATTGAACGAACACTGTTCGACAAGTGAGCACCAGTGAGCAGGATCAGTATTTCTTAATAAATTCAAAGTCAAATCTGTCTGATTCAAATCTGTCAGCAAAAGCCTATCAGTTTTTGAGATAAATCAAGTAATATGAGCCAAAAAGAGCGTCCTTTTTTTCATATTTATTATTTTTTCTGTCCAAACAAAATTTTATTTTTCAATTTCATTAACGCCACTCTAAAAGGAATTTCCATTTTTTATTGAGCGATTTTTTTCATCGAGTTATTAATGTTTTCTGAAATGTAAAATGGCGGATTCAAATTAGCGGATTGAAACTGCAAAGTAGATAGATTTGTATAAAAAAAAAATTTATATTTATCAATTTAGTCCATTATGTTGGGTCTATCATTTCAGTACCCACTTTAATCAAAATGAAGTCATTTTTCACATTTCAGTCCGTCATTTTAAATTTTTCTATTTTAAGTATTTCAGATTTGGTATCAGCGACCTCGAGAAAATCTAAGAAATCTTTTTTGATACAAATATATTTATTTTCCAATTTCAATCCGCTAATTTGGATCTGCCATTTTATATTTCAAAAAACATTCATAACTCAATGAAAAAAAAATCGCACAATAAAAAGAAAATTCTTTTTAAAGGTAAGATTAGCTTTTTAGAGTTAATTAATAAATTTAGAGTAAATTAAAAAATAATATTTTGTGGTTTTGTTCCAAAAAATGATATATGCTAAAAAGTGATAAACGCTGTCTTTTGTTTATATTATTCAATTTATTTCAAAAACCTGACGTAGGCATCTTTTGCCCACGGATTTTGATTCAGCGATCTTTATTGAGAAACTCTGCACGAGTCAGATATATTATTCAATCGATTATTATTTTCCTTATTCTTTTTTTCATTAAAGCACAATACATCGCCGTGAATTTATCGAGAATAAAAAAAAATATGAGAGAGTCTAGCTTATTATTTGATTTACGCCAATTTCATAGAAAAATCTGTCTGAAAAATTTTCAGAATGTTGATTACAAACTATTCGATGGTGACGTGCAGCATAATGAAAAATTAATAGCAGCAATAAGATAATCAGGACTGTAACTGTTGGTCTCCGACCAACCGTTGCTTTGATTGTATTGCTAATAAAATATTTTATTTGAAGAAATGGTATATTTAATGCGCTCACATTTTTTAAAAAAATATTTAATATTTATGAATTGTACAATATTTTTCTATCAGTACTTTCTGTGTGTACTTTAAATTAAGCTAGATGGTATCAATGATAATTTATCGATGTGACGTGCCAGCTATAAATGTGAGATTGTGTTTCGTTAATTTTCATTATTGAAAACTATCTTAATATATTAATCATTCACAAAATTATATATAATAATTATAATAAATAAAAATTTAATCCACGTAGCAAACATATAAGAATATTTAAAATAAAAATAGATTATAGATAATAGTAATAGGTAATAGTAATAGAAATAGATATAATACAAATTACTATACACTTAATATAAATTAAAGAATATGCATATATAATGAATATCTTTGTTTCTACTATGCAGATGCTAATTAGTATTTTCTGCTGATTAGAAGAAAATAGCGTTTAATTTAGTCTAATCTTTTTAACAAAGACGCCTTCCTTTTGAATATTTACGTCATATTAATATAAAATGCAATTGTGTGTATGCGTTTATTATAGCTGTCAATTATATAAGTCAGACATATTATATATATATACACACACACACATATTTGTAATAAAATTATACGTATACATAATTTTATTACAGATAACGTAACAATTGTCGAGATAACGAACGTTGTCAAGATAAAATTATATAAATTTGAATGCTAAAGGAAAGTAGCAATTTTTGAAGGTTTTATCATCGTTCAGGAATTATTTTATTTCTATGTTCTTTTATGTACTTCTTCGTAAAAACCATTAAATAATCATTACAATAACGCCAAACTTAAGGAAAAACTGATATATTGAAATAAAGTAAACAAAATACTTATTCGCATCATTATAAAATCACTGTATAAAATCAGTTATGCTTCAATAATTTATTTATAGAGTTAATCCCAAATTGGATCAAATACAAGTAATATTGCACCACAAAATGTTAATTAGATTATGTTTTTCATTATAACATTTGTCATCTTGATTTCCTCTACTCTAAGAATTACACATCGTTTGGAGTGGAGGAAATTGACAAATGGGGAAAGTACATAAAGAAACACAAATAAAACAAACGCAAAGTTTGAAATAAGAGCCATAGAAAGCACGTTCCATCGAGTATATTGAGAACACTAAATCGCTTAAACACTTATACACGATTACGTTCATTTTCATTAAATTATTCTTTATAATCTTCATTTTAATCTTCTAGAACACACATCTTTACTTTTGCCTTATGTGTACATAAAAATATAAATATTGACAATAATTATCTATATCGAATATATCGACTTAAGAAAATAAGTTTTATTAAGAATGGAGACAGTTAATGTAAATTTACATATTTGTTAAAGAAAGATGTTTGAGAAAGATAAAAATAATCAGTATTAAATATTAAAATAAAGTTTAAAATCAATAATAAAACCAAGAAGAAGTGGAAATAACTTATTGCAGAACAGTTTTTAAATATATACAGGATGTTTAGAAAATAATGATAAATCTTTTTGCACAGGGGCAGATTAAAAATTTGTTTAGAATTTTTTCAGAATTTTTTAATACTGTATTTTCTCATGTTAGTACAAATGAGAAAATGCAGTACTAAAAAGTTGATAAAAAATTCTAAAAAAATTCGTAGAGTTTTATAAGAAGAAAAAATAAACAATCGTCTTTTGTAGTTTTTCTATAAAATTGATTTGAGTAAGAAATTATTAAAGACCAATTTTCGGCAATTTTTAGCAACTAATATCTTAATTATTGCGAAAATTGCAAAATGGTAGAGGACTTTTCTTCTCAGTTTAGTTCATTCTCTATGCGAAAGATTTATCATTATTTTCCAAACATCCTACATAATTATATTGTGCATCTTCTCATTGAAAGTGAAAAGACATGTAAATTGTTAATATCTTTTCACTTTCAATCGAAATTGCAACAGGTAAATGTCTGAAGAATTAGCTATAATCTATTTATGAAATAGTGTTCGATTTTAGATATCGAATACTTTTTATTTGAAGTTTGCTTCGTGATGAAACAAGATGAGAATAATAAGTTCGAGATCAAGAAATCTAGATTTTCGTCTAAGAGTAGTTCCACTCAACATTCAGATAAGAGATAACGTACATCATATTTGTCCTGCAATCGTAAAATCGATGTAATCGTGAAATTAGTGGACACTTTAAAAGCATTTCTTGTTAGATCTATCGAAAAATCAACATAATACTTAAGTTTGAAAAACATTAATAATTCAGAAAGAAAAATTTCCAGAAAAATTACAAAGAAATAAATAAATGAAATGCTAAGAGAACAATATTTAAAAAAAAAAGAATCAATAATAATGATTTAAGAGATGTATCATTATTAAGAATGATTCCAAAGAGAGCCGAAACGTTTAATAAAGAAGATTACACAAGATGGAAATTAATCTTTGGATTTGAATTTAATCTCTGGTATCTTCATCAACCGTGACTCATAGCTTTGAATTTTTGATTTAATTTTTTTATTTTTAAAAATATAATGTAGCGAAAACACTTGTACATAAAAAAAATATTCGTTGACTGAAAAGAAAGAGATTTTAAATTTATTATAACAATTATAATACCTTAACGATAAAAATTACAAAATATTTTTATCTGTATATACTTGATATTATAATACCTCTTTTATGATTTATTTTTTGAACAATCTAAAATTGTTTGTCTGTTTATTTTACTAATTATCTCAAGTTTTTTTCATATGTGGTTTCAAAGAGAGAGAGAGAGAGAGAGAGAATATCTTCAGGAAATATCATTTTGGAAAAAATTTACTACTTAAATAAGATAAAACAATTTAATAACTATATACGTTCTAATGAAATATATAAAAAATAAGATAAAGAAGTCGTTAAGAACCGACGCGTCATTGTTGCGATATCTGATCTTTATTGAATATTACTGAATGTGTATAATATAATGTGTATAAAACTTAAAAGGCATTGGGATTCTATATTTGGAGAGAGATATGAATTACATTTATATACATTAGCCGTCTGGTGATTCATTAATTATTATTAAGAAGAAATAGAATAAATTATTAGATTTAAAAAATAATAAAAAGTATTCATATCAAGTCAAGAAGCATTTAAGGTTTTACATCAGTATAACCTATCACATTTTATAATTTTTATGAATTAAATTCTCATTGTTTGGTATTTATTTATTATGTATATCAAAGAAACAGTATTTACATATAAATGCACAATTCAAATAATTGTACCTAAAAAACATTTAGGTTTTAAAAAATATCGAGCATTCGATAAATAATGATTATTTAACTTTTTTTTTATTTATTTAACTAGATACTCTTTATCGAACATTATAATTATGTCGTTTGATTATTGTTCGATTGTAAAATTAAAATTAAGCATAAAAAAAAAGCAAGAACACCGTTTGCCAAGAACCTTGTGCATTTGGCCATCACTCTTCTTATGCCCTTCTCCTCTTTCTCACAGTCTCATTCATCCATCAAGGCCATCCGGTTTTAAATGCGGAATCGTTCATTCGTATAAACGTCATTTAAATACTCCCAGATTTTCGCACTTCCTGATAGCTTACAGTACCTTCAAGTTTTTTCGTTGTATGTACTCTTCGACTTATATACGTATTATAAATAGGGTCAAGTAAATCATTAAATTATCTCATGCTAATGATAGACATTTGCTTTCAACTATGCGCCACTAAACGTTTGTGAGAAGAATTAGGATATATTATCGGTGCTTCTTAACGTCTCGTCTCCTTAGAAGAAAATATTCTCAAGTAGATGGTAATCAATACAACTACGACGACATTTTCTACTTTAACAAAACCTCCACGCGTCAAAGGATACGCTTTGTTGAATGCATATTAATAAAGCTGTCGATTTATTAAATACGTGCGGCATAATATCGATATTCTTCGTGGATATAATCATGCGTACATGATATCAATAACAACATTTCTACATTTTAAATAAGATAAAATTGAAATTATCACTATAGATATAACTTACATTATAAATTTAAATTAATTTACGATATAAAGTATTTTAGTAATTTCATAGGTATTTGTAAACATAGTATTTATACAAATATTTATTTAAAATGGTTTTTAAATATTTATTTAATGTAAAAATATTAAATAAATATATTTAAAAAAATTTTTTTTAACGTGTGCTGATTGATGAGAATTAAGATATATAAGAAATAAAAATATAAATATAATATTTACTTAATTACTTAATATTAAGTAAAATGAAATTCACGATATATTGTGTATTATTATATATTATTGTAATTTTTTATTCGTATAAGATTTTGTGAAAAATAAATTTAAAACGATTATATAAACACTTTCCTGTTTATGTTTTATATATTGTATGATTTTTAATGTAATGTATTTTTTATAAATTCTTGTAGAATCAAAAATTATGGATATTAATAATGCAATTATAAATTTATCAATTTTATTTGGCTTGACGAAAGCTTACATTTTTATTTACACTTTTTTAAAGTAAATATTTTAATAACTACTAAATTTATAAATGTATTGAAACTGCGAGAGAGAGAGAGAGAGAGAGAGAGAGAATTTTATGACGTAAAAGATTTTATTATTGTGAAGTTTTTTTATTAATTTAATGTATAAAAATAAACTTCTTTGTTGTTTATTGTAAATATATTAGATTAAAAATTTAAAATCTACACAGCATTGTTCAGTATTCCACGACTTTTACATAACACGCATTATTTATCATTCCTTTAGTTATCTCTCACCATACTAAGCGAACGGAAAAATTTGTTCAGTCGCAAATTGTTTTTTGTAAGTCTGGTCGAGATACTTCGTGCTCACATTACTGCCAGGAACGTACGACTTTGGAAACAAATGTTGCCTTATCTTTTGACTAAAAGTTCAAATCACTTCAAGAACCATGATATATTATTAATAAAATAGATATTCTGTGCCGATAAATTATTACCTGACAAACAATAAATGCTTGTAGATATCTTTATCATGAATTACTAAAACTCGAAGTAAGACAAATATATATCTTCGCCCTTTGTCAATTAAAGTTTATATAAAAAAATAATAACATAGTAAAGACACAAACTATCAATCAAACAAGAAATCAAAGAAAAAAAAAAAATCATTAAACGATCTAGCTGGAACTTAAATGCTTGTATGATTCTTGTGTGAATTTATACGTATGTGGTTCCCAGAAACGCGCGCCAAAATGATTTTTCGGTTTTGAAAACGCTAACTCTACTAAACTGTACGCAGTAATATCACGAGTTAAATTGGCTAGCAATTTAACAAATTATAATATCGCACGGAATGCAAGAATCCGGGTTCGACTTCCGGCCGAGGTAATATTTTTCGCAATAAGAATTAATTATTTACAGATTTTAATATGTTATTCAAAATTATTAAGATCGTTTCAAAATGCGAATTTTCGAAGAAGCATCATAATTTGTTTTGCGGTAGTTTAGTAGAGTTAGTGTTTTCAAGACCGAAAAATCATTTCGACGCGCGTTTCTGGGAACTACATATGTAGTATATAAATTCACACAAAGTATTTAAGATTCATACAAGTATTTAAGATTCAACTAGATCTTTAAGACTTTGATTTCTCTAGTTTGTGTTATCACACATATATGATCCTGTAATATATCATATTGTGTAGTAAAGACAGCCTAATGCAATTCCTTAATAAATTCGTACAGTATGTTAAATATAACAATGTATTAATGGCTCGTAAGACATATAATACCACGTAAAATTGAGAAATATAAAATAATTTTTTAATTGGTCACACTCATTAACATGTTACACGATTCCTGTTTCTGAAAAAAAAAAAATATCAATATAATTATGCAAATTGTCAAATAAGATCAAGTTATAAGAGCTCGCGCTATATCATATAACATCATAATCTTGAGTATTATGTCAATGTATAAAAATAACTAAATATTATTCTGTTCTTGTTTATGTATATATTTATATATTAATTCTTAATTTTGGTTATATCGAATTCACATCACCGTTTATATTTAAACATTTATAATAAAACAAAAAATGAACACAATTTCTTTTAAATTCTTGAATAAAAATAGAATAAAGTAAAATAGAAAATAAAATATAAACAAAAATACGTAACTTTGTACTTTAATTACTATTTAATAAAATATCTTAAAATGACATTCAGTTGATATAAGTCATCAAAGTCAAGAAAATAAAATACTAACATAGTCAACAAAATGAAATAATTACAACTAGGAATGGAAAATAGATATTTGTATCAATATATTATTTCCCAAGAATTAATATTCATTAATAAGTTATTAAGTTACATATATTAGACGCTATACGAATAAATTAAATAAAGAAGTGGTCGAGGAAGACTGTATTTGATGCTTAATAATATATTTCTGTGTAAATTTTAAATACATCTTTAAACTGCTCGCCGATTTCTGTCGAACTTGAAATTACAAACTGAAACTGAAATAGATATTATCACATGCCTTAATGGAAGAATTGAAAAAGCATTCACTCTGAAAGTTTAAGTCTGAAATATTTTTCGGAATAAGTTCTTTACAGTTTTTTACCAATCATTATTAAATTAACGAGCAATTTAATTTGTAATATTATTTCAGCAATTTGCGATTACATTTCAAGTCCGACAGTAATCGATACACAGTTTATATAATTAATATATTTGAAATTTACAAAATATCGTTTAAGCAATAAGATAAAATTTCGATCGTATTGGGTTGTCCGGAAAGTGCCGATTTTGAAGGAAAATTAAAACACAGAAGAAAAAAATTAAATTAATTTTTAATTTCATTTATTATATTTAAATCTTTTGCGGCACGAACTTTCCGGACGACCCAATATTTGGCGTTTCTTTACTCTCTTATTTATAATATTTATATAATTTATAATATTCATATATTTTAATGATTCTTATGATTCTTAAGTTATTAATTATATCTTAATTACTAAATCTAATCATTCATACTGTAGAGGTTCACTATTATATTTAAATTAATTATATTTAAAGAAGTTGTCGAAACAAAAATTTTATTATATTTCTTATGCACGTGGAAATATATCTATCTCATACTTAATCATAAATAAAATACATGGAAAACTTATTTATTTACTCCATACATCTTCCATTACTGCATTTTTATATTCGGATAATATGTACATTGCGTTATTTTATCGTATACAATAAGATGAAAAGTAATACTTATACTAAAATTTTGATTTGTAGATAAAACTTTATAAACTATACTTATATATATGAGTTATTTACTGTACATATATACATACTTCATTGCACAAAATCTTAATTCAACAAAAGTCCATCAATTCCTGAGTTTTATGCCATTATTGCAATCGGCTCTTGAATCTTTTCTTTCGTACTTTTCTCTTCTTCTGGTAATTCCTTTGGTACATCTGGTAATAAAACATCCTTTGGTATTTCAGGAGCTTTCTCATTGATGTCTGCTTCCATCAATGCATCCAATTCTGCTTCAATTTCACTCTCGTCAATTTCTTCCTCTATAGCGAAAGTTGATGTCAATACTTCATCAATTTCTCTTTGCTTTTCGATGCCCTCTCTCGTTTCATCCATAACTTTTTCAATTTCATCGATAGACAACAAAGCGTGTAATTGCTTCAATGCAATATTGCCAGTTTTTAGGCCATCAACAACTTTTATCTCAATTTGAGCAAATTCCAAATCATGAACCATACGCTCAAGATTTTCTAGCTGACCGTCTGCACGAGTCAGAACTTGTTCTTGATATTTCTTCTTGCGTAACAATAGTAATGCACGACTATAAGAATTACAAAATAATTTTAAGATAATAAAATCTAATTAATATGTTATATAATATCAATTAAGCAAAAATCTATAGAAAATATTTAACAGATAGAAGGATTCTTCATATAGTAAATAACAATAAATAAAAGGCAAAGTAAGAGTCAAATACATTTTAAATTTTAACACAATTAAATAGAATAAATTACAAATCAAGAAAAATAAAAATAAAGAAAACAGTCTAAACATATAAATATAAAACATAACTCGTAATAATTTTCCTGCGATATTTAATCCATAATTTGAGATATTTAACTGTATGAAAATCATAGCATTTAGATATAAACTTGAAATATGAAATGTACTGAAATATGAAATATGAAATGAATATGTGTTCTAGGGATTTTTCTACGATAGCGCTCAAAAAAACATTTAACAGATAGTGTAAAATTTAAAATGTATTTGATTCTATAGAAAATGACTAAGAATTTTTTTTTAAATCATAAAAGAAAGTATAAACATAGAATTCATCTTAAATTTCTAATTACTGAAAAATTTTAGCTAATAAGCAATGTACTAATTTACAAATAAATATAATATAGAATAAATATTGTATATTATATAACGCTAATATATGCAGTATGCAATTAAATATAGTATGTGCAATTAAATACACAATACTTTCTTTTCATATAATAATTAAACGTAAGATACGCACTCTTTTTTGCCATTTTTCAAAAGTTCCTTTGCAAGCAATCGTTCTTTCTCCAAACTTTGCTCGATTTTCTTCTGGTATTGCTTAATTTTATCCCTTGTTTGTTTCACTTGCTGCAAATGTCAAAAAATGTATCTCAGACAGTTTTGAGGTTATAATATGCACTATATACTTCTGATTTTTGTGTACTATATTTATTTGACTTAATTTTTTTGTTTGTAATGCGTGCGAATCAAACAATTATTAACAACTTACGAGTTGAGTTAAGTGTGACCAACGATAAGAGAATGATTTGACAGTTTCAGGAATAACGTTGTGAAGAAAGGATTAAGACCACTTCTTACCAGGATTGCTTTGTCCTGCTCAGTGACCCGACTTGGTTGTTTTTTCTTAGCGAAGAAAATTCCCATTCTTGCACGCGATATCACAAAGTGCGAACCGCGAGTCGAACTTGCAATTGACTCGCTTATCACGTCACGTCACGTTTGACAATCGTCGAAAATATATCCTCGCGGGGTGCCGGGAGGCAGCCATGTTGGTCGTTCGATAGTCGATAAATCGACGCTTACAATTCTCGAAATGAGTGCCGCCTCACATAACTCGCGCGATGAAGGTTGTTCGATTGTAAATTCGCTCTCAATAATTGCAATAAATTTCATGTTTCGCGGATGTTTCGTACGTAAAAATTCACGAATTGTGACACGTAATTTTACGTGACGATAATTACGGTAAAACACGTAAAAAAAATAAGCTGCACACATAATACGCATGAGGTATTATTTTATTGTTGTTATTCGCAGAATGTTAAACAAGGATAAAATGATACTTCATGCGCATTTTGCGTGTAACAGAACGCAGCCATGTTTGTGATTGGAAATAATGAATTCACGAATTGTGAATCGACTACTATATCGTTTAATGTATTTTGAAGATAACATCAGGTAATTTTTTACAATATTTACATAAATAACAAGAGATGAGAAAATTTTGAAGAAAAACTATAGTTACAGCTTGATGTACATATAAAATAATTTCTATCTAATCACGATTATAATTGAGGTAACAAATTGCGGCGTTCGATTATTTCAATCTATGGGTAGATATTATTAATTATTTTTCTTTGGCATCAAAAGATTTTGCAATCAAAGTTTCGTATTTTTCAATCTTTTGATAAAATTTCGAATATTGTTTGCTCCAAAAGTTTACAATTACTTTTTAAAAATTTTTGGAATTACTTATTCAGCTTAACAATAATTTTTTTAAAGAGTTATTGTAAACAACACATTGTTATAGATATCACAGATACAATAATTATAATTATTAGATTTTTACTTCTAATAATATTCTAATTTATACATTGCAGCTCTAAAGAATTATTATTAAAAAGGTTGTTATTTGAATAAATATAATTCCTAAAATTCGATTTTTTTAATGTTTGCCTGGTATTATGTATGCATGTGGATATGTCTTTGGCTATTTACATTTTTATCTAGTTAGATTGTTTATTCTTAATTATTGCATTACGTTACATATATTAATTTTTACGATAAAATTATTGTATAATTATATATGAAATAAAAACTGAATAAAAATGCACAATTTATGCAATTTGTAATTGCGGATGTATAATTCAGTGTTGAAAGGTAGGGATCGAGTAATAAACCACAAAGACATTAGATTGAATTGAACAATGTCCATTATATTATATATTTTATTCCCACATACACACGGCACGTTGTGAACCTTTTCTTAAATATTAATAATATTATCGTAATAATAATAATAATCATCATCAAAATCGTCATCATCATCATCATCTTCCTCGTCATTATCCTCGTCATCGTCGCAATGATAATAATTTTCAATAATCATAAGTAAACAATAATAAACATAATAATGTGAGAGAATTCATGTGAATTATATTTATATTTATGTATATATATTTATAATAAATCATATATCGCAATAATCATCGTATCATATAATATATATTTATATGTACAGAGGGGTATAATATATATTGTTATTCTTTATTAGTTTAATATTTATAATCGCAATATTATATTTATTTTTGTTTGTATACATACACAATTAATTAGATTATCGGCCCTCGCATGCGCCTCGTGGCGGATAATTTCTCACTTTCTATCTTTTGTTCCTATCTCGCTTTTCCCAACTGAGTGAACCCGGGACCGAGTAATATTCTCTCATAAATCGCTCGAGTGCATAAGCGCAATCGATTGATCCTCGTGTCTCTCTTGCTTTGAGAAAAGCATCGTCGACGGACCCGGAATTCTTTCCATCGACCGGGTCAATCGATCGATTCGCTTCCTCGAACGCAACCTCGGCGCTCCGCGGTCGTTTTGTTTTTATCTTACAAAACATCCATTATAGTCTTGGCCGCTGTTGGACAGAGAGTCGATATTCCCCTCGTTTAACTTACACTTCTGAATCTTACTCGAGCGATTGAACGGGTGCTGTGTCAATTTCTCAACGCAACAGTCGCGATCGCGATTTAACTTTCGCGCGGAAGGGGAACGCTCGGTTCTCCCACCAGTAGCGGGTCTTTCATAAATATTCTGTACAACGTTATTATTATTATTATAAATCATCAATATATCTTATATAGTCTTATCGTTATGTCATTATTATCGGTAGTGTAAAATTGAAACTTTTACGTACTTACGTAGATTAGATTAGCGTCTTGCTCGCCCGCTCGCTCGCGGGCGGCCTATCGTTATATATACCATTTTTTGTTCTTTTTCTTTTAAGTCGATACATAATCGTATAATTTAGTATGTCGCTATATGTACTGTAATCGTTTACGATTAGTAAGAATATGTAAAATTGGTATTTCATCTTATCCCTTGGCTTGCTCGTTTATAATTCAATAAATTCTCGTTTAAGCATCCACATAATCGTTTAATATACATGGAATTAAGAGGGGTTTAATTATTGCTTGTTATATTGCAAGTTTCCTCATTGCAAGCTATGCCATTCCGTCGAGCTTATTCGCAGTTCGCCGTTGCTCCTCTTTACAACTATCGCGATCCTTTCGCTGTGAATCACAGAAAGTATACCCAAAAGTTTGGTTTTCCTCGTTCGCTGCATCACCGATATCGATAATAAGACGTCATCAAGCCTAACGTACAATATAAATATTTGTCGAATTCATCATAGTTTGTCGCTATTTTGAAATAATTGAAATTTTTCTCTTTCGGAAGATTAGGTCTAAAATGTAAGAGATGTAATAAGAAATCTCTTAATTTTCATCGGTCGGCATCGTTATAAAATAACAATATACAATGTGCTTATAAATCACTCAGGTTCTTAATAATAATGC